CGGGTGCACTCACACTTCCCTTTGTGAGTTTGTGGACACTGGGACAAACCGCCTGCCAAGATAGCTACTAGCCCGTCTGTTGACACCTTCAGGAAGAGGTTGAACGGTCACACAGCGAGGCATGGCTTGCGCTCGTCCAGGTGGGATACGAATTAGGTTGATACAACCTACAAATTCCATACAGCCCAACCCACAGACCAAGCACAGAGCCTTTTTTACCACCAATATCATCAAAAACCTGACTCACGCTTATACTTCCCTGTAGACGGGTCCAGTTAAGATCTACCGATAGTACTACTGTCTCCATTTTCATAGCCTATCCTATAATCTTGCTTGCTCTTCCTCTTCCTTCTGATTCTATGCTGTCACGTCCTTACGATCTTCGTTTTTGACCCCCTAAACAGGCCGCCCGGTAGCACAACACTTGAGGAACCCATCTGCATCGCAGTCCTCGGGGAAACCACATATCCCTACAAATTTAATCAACACCCAACCATTTCTCGAGTTAATCAGAGGTACAGCAGATGAGTGAGTAGACGTACTGCAGCACAATCGATCAAAGACCTGGAATCATTTCGCAAAACCTAGAAGCGAGTGTGAAAAAGTCAATTAGTTTGCATCAGCTCTTGAACAATTATTGGGCATTGGATGTATGTTTTCCTGCTTCACTTTGTTCAACTTATGACCTAACAGCTGGTTTCACAAATGACTTGGGACTGCGTAGTGTCTCTCATTTTTGGCGTCCTACTTAGACATTTAGTCAATAAATATGCATCTCGTGACTTTTTGGATAGCCTCACATACTCTTCACTAGACCAGTGGGATTCTGGTAGGTCTAGGCCCAAGTATTGCATTGCTTGCAGTTTCAGAAGGGATTTATTTGCAGAAACAAGGTATTTCTGCGTATGATGGCGACATAGTGCACCAGGTAGGAGTGGATTCAGATCATATTTTATTGACAGCCTCCTTTACTTCTCTTGATGTGGTCGAGTTTACTTAACCTTACGGTGGAAATAGCGTGATTTATTTCTGGGTTTGTGACCAGTTTAACTAATTTCCGTAGGCTCTAGAACTTATCCTGTTAGTTTCGTTGGGAGTATTTTGCAAGTCCACGCTGAATTATCTCCTTTCGCTTCAGAGTGACTACAAGTCATCAGTACACGATTCATCAAAGCACCTTTTATTGAAGGAGGCGGATTTAAAGAAACTTCAAGCACTTTCACTCATATGGTACTTTAAAACTTTTTATTGACTGAGTGTAAACGCACAAATACTTCAATGGCTCATGGTTCTAAGCATTTTATTCCGTTCATAGTACCATTTTACTAGTTATGCGGTGAAGTCCATTCGGATGCTAATCGGTGTGAATGTAGTAATCAAGAATTTACTTTTATTGGCCATTGTGTTGACTGATTTCTTTTTCATAAGAAATGATCTCCAGTCCTAGGTGGTCACTAGTTGTTACTTTGATGTAAATCCGGTTTATTTCACCATAGGTTACTTTCAAAGGCTGATTCATTCAATAAATAGCACTGCTTACTTCCCTATCTACTCACTTGTTTATCCTGGTCATTCGGAATGTCATCTCCCAGCTTACGATTTTCATAGTTAGCATTCCTTCATATGGACTTAAATATAGTCTCTCACAGTACTACGTAATCTACATTTGACAAACCAATTGAATCTCCTACGTCCATAATCAATACTATTTTCGTGTCACGAATGTTGTATTTTCGCTGTGTTGATTTGGAAACAATTATGTCAAGATTAAAATGCCATATTTTTCAGCCAAAAACTTGAAAGTCAAGTCTTATGATTGTCCTCTCCTTAGATTTGCAACGAACGTATATTTTGCCGTAGTTCGGGACTTTCCACTGTTGCATATCACACTTTTTTATGGACTGACGGAATTCCGTTAATGTTTATCAGCAAAAGTAGTGCTAGTCCCTCATCCCGTGGTCACTATTCATCTTTATGAACTTGATTGTATGACGAAACCGTCTAATAACCTTATTGTAAGGTATCTCTTCTCAATTTTATCATAACAGAATGGGAAGTGAGACAGCTTAGTTTAGGTTCGTGTGTTGGTATATTAGAGGCATTCAGTGGGATTCTCCACAGTACTAATGCTTTAAGCTTTCTGATTATGCGGATCGGGCTAGAACCCCAACTATTATGCCAGAGCTTTAGGGATATCTAATTTCACATACTTCCTAGTTCATTTTTATGGAGTTCATGAGTTTATAAACTATCAACGACTTTTGTTTCCAAAATATGGGAGTTATTGTTTACAATTCTCATGGCAGTTTTTCTCTCTCGAGTCATTGGTTACGGTATTCACAACGTTATTTCTGCTGCTAAAATTGAAAAAATAACTTTGAGTTTGAAGATGTTATTAGTTGCTAAGGCAGTTAAAAAGTAATCCTTAACTATTCCAAAAGAACTCACGTAATCCTAAGTGAGAAAAGGGGGCGTAACAAGCAACATTAACCCTTATGACATATATGAGGACAAATTTCAATTTGTTTCTCGCTTCATTCATATTTACTGTCAGTGGAAATATAGTTTCAGTTTTCTTTTCGTGTAATCCATCGTTTCAGGTACTCGCTTAACCCCTATTCAATACTCGTATCGGCTGCCCAGTCAACATGTATTGTGAGCAACATAGTGTTCCTATGGGTAAATATTGCCATATGTAGAGGTTAGTTTCAGTGTAGTTCACTAACCCTAGTTTGTATAATTTTTTAGAAATACCTTTCTATCAGTTTCGTGTCTGCATTTGGGGGCTTGTCTTGTTGTCAGGCATTTAGCTCTCAAACAGTGCTGCAAACTCGGGTCTCATTCAACCTATCTGGGTTCAGGTGTTCAAGGAAGTATCAACCCTTGTAAGATAGGTGGGGTTCATAGGGTATCTTACCGATCGACATGCAATTCTTATCTATTCCTATGACTTCTGACCAGGTTGTTCTATGAAACTGCGTTAAAAACAAGACCTGAACAGTTGGATAGGAAGCAAAGCAAGTAGATGGTTGTTTTGGTTCATCCTCACAAAAGTGTAACGACCGAGGAAAATTGCCGAAGGTGAAAAAATATTAGGATGAATAGGAGTAGGGAAAATAAATTTAAATAAAAGGAAGACTAGATGCAGACCAATCAGCTGTAACTCACCGGTCTTAGCACTCAACCACCAGTCGATGGAGCATAGGTTCAGATCCCGTTCCACCTACTTAGGTTTGGGTAGCCAGGTAGTATTATAAACCATCACACAGTAAGTGGTTCATTACCTACTACACAAACGTGCATGGGGTTGCTGAGTGGATTTGATTTTCGACAGTAATAAAAAACGATTTGGAGAAGAATGAGTTATGAATATAATAACATCTTTACCGATTTTAAACTAGATCACGTAAGATCTACAGCCGATAGTTCCTTAAATCCTATGACATTCAGCGTACTTCTTTGCAACGCATTTTAGCAATGCTTGTTATTTTGTAAAATGCAGCTTGTATATTGTTAAATTATTTTGCAAGAAAACTATGAATTATTTTGGGTATTTGCAGCCGTTTTTCACTTGGTTCGTCTCATTTCATCCAAGCGTCAAGAAATCTACAATGTTATTGTACACCGACCGCTTCTCCGTTCGATGTCTTAGAACTGTAAAACAGTGAACTGCTAAGGATATATCTCTGACGTGTGTTCAAGTCACAGAAATTAGTGTTCCAATCAGACTTAACTCGTCAAATGACAATTTCTATCATACGAAAATGTTTACCGTTCAACTTCAGATTCACTAGAGTATTTTTTCCACTGGATGCAAGTGATCTCATAAAAACAACAGTAACCATACACAGAATTCTTCAACAAGGCTAATGGTTCAACTGTCACAAGTACAAAACTGCTAGCACGAGAACTTTCACTCTATCCATCACATTCAGATTAACGTCACAAAAGCTAGTGAGAAATGCCAAATGAGCATAGGCCGATCTGGCCTTCATTATACAGTTAAAGGGTTCACCCATCATGTCACCAGCACATAGAACTACCTAGGTATACCTATTTCTTTACCTGTCCTAACGGTTTACTTTCAAAGTAAGTACAGATACAGACTACTATGGAGGTTGCTGATCGCTAGCCGTCCAAATGCTCTTTATCTAACCCGTCTGTTGTTGTGTGATAAAACAGTGCCCGTTTGCATCCAAAAAATCGAAGTCTTTACCTTTTTCAGAGCTGCCTTAAAGATGTCATCAGTGGGAAAGCTGAAAAGGAATGATGAATATGGACAAGCCTACCTCAATCCATCACTAGTTAGGAGTAGTCAAGGCATCTGGACAATCAACAGATTTCGAAAAGGCCTTGGGAGCTGGACAAAAGATTTCACAACGGAATTTTGCTGGCATTCTATAATAACAACATCACCTTTAATATCTTGTGCTTCATAATGAGTGAACAAAATTTGTTACTAACTTGAAGTTAAGAGGGAAATTCAGGTACTAAAACGCTATCAAGTAACATACTCGGAGAAACTACCCTGAGTTTCTTTTTCGAAAAGAAGCACTAGTCAGAGGATTAGTTAGATTACTCACAGGTTCATGTCAGGTTGAGAATGCTGTATCATTCTGAAATCAATCTCTTTTAGCATTCTTACTTAGGAAAACTAACGTAATGGAAATAGTTTTACCATATATGTCTAAGGTATACACTACTTTTATGATTCACAGACTAAGTAAACACCAACCTTAGTAACTCGAATGGGTTACTTGTACTTATGACTTTTATACTATCCATACTTTGATGACTGTGGGACTGAGTAGAAAAGTTGGAGAAATAGTAACTGTTATAAAACGAAGGATATTTGCGTTGAATTGGTGTTAGAATATTTCGTGTTTAGACCACTTCTGATAAACCCATGGGTAGGAAGACCAGTGTTTATGTATTATTCAAAGCCTACTAGAGGAAGTCAATAGCCTATACTTTTGCGTAAGGTGTTGGCAAATAGAAATATGCGTTCAAGTGTTCTGGTTTAATGCCGTGATCTTAAGTATGTTTTGAAGTAGACATAAATATTTATATATGAAGCTGTGAATGACTGATTTAGGTGCTTGTCTGTCACTTACCACCACACTTATTAGCGCTGTGATTAACTGGTTTGAGGAACAACTTTTGATCGATGGTTGAGGGGTTCGAACCCTACCCCACTTCTAAGGTTTCAGCAGCTAAGCGGTATCATAAGCAATAAGTGTTACTCGTTTTCTACTTCAAAAACCTGCACATGGTTGCTGAGTGAAGTGTTTCATTGATTTTGGTAAGAATGGTCGGGCATTACGACTATCAGTTATCATGTATCTTTTATTCTATCTCAACTTGTCTAGGTCAACTATTGTTGGCTGGCTGTCTTTGCGCTTTTGGATGCTATATTCGTATCTATCCTGGATATTTGATTTTTCCAATTTTAGCTGCTGCTTACCTGGTAAACTATTTCGTTTATTTTTTAACAATCCTTTTGTAGCATTTCAAATTCACAAGTAACGTATTGAAAAAGTTAAAATAATGCTCTTAGACTTTCACATACTGGATTGTTAATCATGAGAGTGAAGGCTAGTTGTGACTGTAGAGAATAAACTTAGTAAACTGGATTGGTGTCTGTTATAATGTTATTAAGCAGACAGTGGTGTAGACTACTGGAGTGAAGACCAGTAATATTTAGTTGTTGAGTGACAAGTATATTTACAATACAGCTATTGAATCAACGCTTTATAAAGGCATCCAAACATATGTCTGTTTCTTAGGTTTGGTTGTACGGATTTTGCAATAAAATCACCTGTATTCTGCAAAGTTATAAGTAGTTGTGACTTCTGAGGAACTTTATACTCACACGTCTAGAACTTTTTCTGCCATATTATTCATATCAGCCCAACAGTCAGTCAGTCAGTCATCGAGGATGCATATTGAACCTGAGATTATTGTATAACGGTCCATATCAACACATCCTATATCAGCGTATCAAGGTAGAAGTCACCAATGGTAAAAGGTAGAGAAATAGGCAAACAAGTTTTCACCCGAGAGTAACCAATTATGTGTCCAGTTCAAAGTGCTGACCGAGTTCTACTGATCATTTTGCAATGTTGCCATCAGTTTATGAGACTCATTATCGTGATGAACTTTTAACGGATGTTAGTTGGTTGAAGGGAATCAGTAGAAAGCCGTAAGTCTGGGTTTTGTGTTTGTTGGTACAAATTAGCAAGGTGTTTCTGGAATGTATATGTTGATATATCTGAAACATAGATAATTCTGAGTTTTATCACCTAGAGTCCCAAACTACATGTTTCACTCATCATCTGAACCCTGATCGGTAAGTCTAGACTTCCATAGGTGACTCAGTCTAACAGGCAAATACTTCATGAAATGATGCCATGTTTTAGTCTCAGGTAGAAGTGTGCGATGAAGCAGACAGTGTGTCAGCATACGTAACAAACGTCCCAGCCACCTGAGCCGATGAATGTTCACAACCTCATCAACTGACATTTCTCTCTTCCCTAAGACTCTACACCTGACTTTCATATTACCAAAACTGACACTACAGCACGCTACCTATGCTGCGAAGGCAACGGTGATTAAATAACTGAAGCCTTTTCATATCCTCTCCTTTTAATGGCTATATTTGTAGTAGAACAAAGTGAACTGCTGCACAGTATACTCGACCCTTAGTAGACAATGGAATAACGCGGCAAAGCCATAAATGTATAATCACTTTCGTTAAATGCACTTTGAAACTTCTCTAGTTCACTATGTAGTAATATGTCATTTAAACATATTTTCCCGGTCTTTCTCTCTATGTGCTTAACTGAGTTACTGCTCATTTGGAGTACGAAGAAGCTTGAGAAATAAATGTACTACTTTGTTCATGTACATTTCTTGTATATTGGTCTACAAAGCTTCTCATTTCTTCTACTTATGAGGTTTGTATGTGAGCGTAATCATTCTATGAGTATCATTAAATTTATTAGGAAGTTTTTTTGCATATTTATTCTTTAGGTACAGAACGATTGTACAATCATTTCAGGGGAAGTATAAGTTCATTGTTCTTATATTAAAGTAGAATTCGTTATTCTCAAGTTTGACCATGAAGATTTCTACAAGGAAAAGGCTACCCATTCGAACTTCATTTACTTGTTGATATAGTTCCCCACTGAAAACAAACAAACGTTCATAATGCATAATTATACTACTGTTTCATGGTATTTTTCTGGAATTTAGAGTCTTCCAAGTTTCCTATAGCGTTAAAGCAACTCAAATACGTTCCATGGTAATAATAATGCTAGACCTGCAAAGATGATGATGTCACCACCTTTCTTAAGTTGCATAGAAGTCGGTTGGCATCCAAAATGTCATTAGAAGTTGCTGAGGAGTCCCAAAGTTCAACTTAGTCCAAAAATATTAGAACGTTTGGCACTCCGCCTGGATAACCCAGTGGTAACGTCACTGACTGCAATATTGGGTGACATGGGTTCAAATCCCAGGCAAGACATCACTTCCATCGGGGTTGCAGATACGCCTTGCTGACTGGTCCCTAGAAAAGCACAAAAAATAGGTCAAACGGGGTTACCTGCTGTTCACCTCTAATCAACTAACATTTACCCAAGTGTATCGCAATGGTAAGCCTCTTAGCTTGGTGCCCATATTTCTGAGTGATCGATAATATGCGACCAACACTTAGGATTAGACAACGTGAGGTTAGTTGCCCTTGAGCGGACCAGTCAGTGAGTCCTTTTGAATCCAGCATGATGTGACTAGGACGAAATTCCAAATCATCATCGAGTAGTAGTAGAAAGCTTACCAAATAAAATAAACAACAGTTCCATGAATTAAATTATGAAGAAGCGAGCTGACTAAGAGGGAATACAATACGTGTAATCACAACAAAACGGAGTTATGGGCTAACTAGAAAGGTATGCTGTTCGATATTCGCCAACTTGCATCATCTTAGGCGCTGCCGACTGGCAATATATCCGACTATCTATAAAAGGACAAGTATACTGCACTGCAGTCCGTTCTATAATGTTATGCAGCTGAGACATGGCCGTTAAACGCAGAAGATATGAAGTAGTTACAGATTTTTGACCACATGCATCTTTGTAGTATTGTTTGCGTATGGTGGGATCACCGTGTGTGCAATGCCAAGGTTAGGCCAAGGGTATTAGGCAAGGAAGGCAAGTCGATCGATGAATTTATGAACCTTTAGCGATTGAGGTGGCTTAGACATGAACTGCACATACTAAGCCTTCGCCTACCAGGGCATGCAATGCGGATGAAAGTTGAATTAGGTTGGAGTGATCAGATGAAGACATGGCACTAGTCGATCAATTCTCTGACTGTTAGTCTGAGACATATGGGGAAGTGTAGACTGCCTTCAAGACAATAGGAATCAATGGTTTGATATCTTTGGTGACATGGCTGAAAATCAGTCGCAATGGTGGAGACATATTCATTTTTTGACATCTATGACTTGAACATTTTCACTAATATTCATTCTTTTTCCTTCCTGCACAACTTTTGTCTATTTTGATACCAGTGTTTTTCTGTCTACTTGTTCTTTGCATGCTGCTATGAGATGTGGCAACTTGAAGTGATGTATTTGTATGCTAGTCTCTGTATTGATTATATCTACCTCTCTGTACTTGTTCCAAAAGTGACCTTTTTGGTTTTATGAACAAAAAGTTTTTGTAACATTTTCTTTAAAGGAGGACTCTTGAGGAGCGTGTATAGTAACTTGGATTGTTGTGTACAGTCATAGTGTAGAAAACGACAAGACGGAGACAAAGGAAGGGATGTTTATCATTGGCATCTTGTACGGTAGTGATGAAATATTGCACACTTTCTACTAAAACAGTCATTTGCTTCATTTCCTCTTCTGCTTCTATCGTGATTTGTTCTTAATACGCCCACATTATCTCTTGCGTTTCTCTGAACAGAATCTTTAGCCGTTGCTGGTAGTTGCTTATGATTTCTACCGCCGTCTCAACAATATACTACCTATATCCATTCTCATCAGCAGCATCCACTACAGTAGTACATCCTATAGTAATGGTAATCCTTTTCATAATTTTCAAATATATCTCTCCAAAAGATAATATCCTGCATTGATTGACTTGCTTAAAGGTAAGATGATTGAGTATCTTGACTACTTATCCCGTCTATGGAGTTGTTGATTGATTTCTGACCGGTCAGTTGTCCAGGGTATCGTTTGGAGGTGTGTGGAAATACGGAACGTTTTTTGTACAGTCGAGATATTGGAATACTTAACTATTCAAAAACAAATGAGTTTATATTTCAAAACAGTTCGTTTCTTGTTTTACTGCATGGCTATACTACACACTCAGCATGAATTAGATCACTTGTGACTTTGAAGTTTTCTTCGTGTATGGTTACATCATTGAGTAAGTAATTTAAAAGTTAAGTGAAAACTGAGTCACTTGGTGATATAGAAATCCAACTAATAGGTTGATCATCCTCATCACCGATTTGTTATCATTTGGTCTGACTGTAATTGACGTAAGCACATGACTCAGCTGTATTAAGCACTCAACTCTGACCTTGAACGTGATTGGTCCACAAAATACTTGCGTAGCCTTGTATACTTAATTCATTCAGTTTGGCCTTACAATCCAACTGCTTACAACAGAACACAAAGTCTGATGTTTATTGCTCGTGTATATGTTTTAGGCAATTGCAACGCTTCGCATCATTATAGAACAGAGTATAGAATGGCAGTCAACCCTCTACCCCAACTTCATCGACTTTGAAAAGGCCTTTGACAGCGTCGACCGGGAAGTAATTTGGCAGTTGCTTCAACACTACAGTTTTAGTGTCACAAACCTTTATCAAACTCATTCAACAACTATATGAAGATGCCACATGCCAGCCAAGTAATTCACAATGGGAAGGTCAGTGATGTCTTTGAAGTGAGGACAGGAGTAAGACAAGGCTCCCACCTATTATCACCCATGATATTGCTGATTGTGGTGGACTGGACGATGCAACAAACAGTGAGGAGCGAGAGGAGGGGCATACGCTGAACCGGGGAAAAGAACCTAGAAGATTTGGATTTCGCCGATGACTTATGTCTAATGTCACACAAACTTGAAGATGTACAGGCGAAAACCAACAAGTTGACTAAAGAGGCTAGGCAACGAAGACGGGACTTCAGATGAATGCAGAGAAGACAGAGATGATGATGATACCCAACCATCAACAGCATCAACAACAAGCTGCAATCACCATGAACGGGAGAAACTTAAAGGAAGTAGTCTCTTTCACCTACCTGGACAGCATCGTTTCCACTACAGGCGGCACAGATGAGGACGTCAAAGCCAGCCAGGATCGGAATGGCAGCAAGACAGGCGTTGATTAACCTGAAACCAGTGTGGAGATCTTCTGCACTGCACTCAGCATAAAGCGTGAACAACATCCGGATTTTCAACACCAACGTCAAGTTAGTGCATCTGTATGTCTGAGAGACTTGGCGCGTTACGAAAGGGGTTTCTCACAAACTACAGATATTCATCAACAACTGCCTACACTGGCTCGTTACTGAAGATCAGATAGATTGCGAGAAAGAATAAGCAACAAGGAACTCTGGCTGACTGGCAACGAACCAACGAAGAACCTATCGCTGAACAAATATGCAGTGGAAGGAAGTGGAGATGGATTGGGCATACACTGAGAAGGCCGACTGGGGACATCACGTACCAGGTCAGGTCGTCTAGTGGAATCCCGATGGGAAGCGACGAGTTGGACGTCCGAGGGTGACATAGAGGAGGTCGTGCGAGGAAGAAATGAGAGCTTGTGGGCAGTCGTGGAGCCAGGTTGAAAAAATTTCAGAGAACAGAGTTCACTGGAGGCGTGCTTCTGAAGCTGTATGTTGCATTAAGAACCCAAGGGACAAATAATAACAATAAATATGTTTCAGGCGATCTGACTCATCTGTTTGTGCACAACTAAATTACTTGACCACAATGCACAAAATATAAGATAGTGAACAATAATGGATGATTTCACTGAACCTAGAGTTATTTTCGAAATACATGTCATATAGAAGGGGGATAAGGAGTCAATCGGAAGCTCTTAAACCAACCTATACAATAATGCTGCCAATTAAGTCATCAATAAAAATACTTTTAAAATAACCGAAATAATATGAAAAATGGTTTCTTAGGCGTAATTCTGCTTATTTTTTCTCTTCTTATATAAATTGTTAATTATCAATAGACTGGATATTTTCAAGTTTCTCTTTTTTCTCATTGATTTATTTTGTTATATACAGCGTTCAAAAGAAATGAAAACAATTACTTGCCGTCTATTGAGTCTTCTATCTCCACTAGTTGTATTCATTGTCAGTTTATCAATTTTACTATGGATTAGTTTCATTATTGTAGAGAATCATGATTGGAGTTTTTTAAGATCAGTTTACTGGCATACGTAAGTGTCCGGCTTTTTGTACTCTGTAACTAAACTGTATATATTGCATTTTTCATTGTACTAACTAACTGACTCAAAATGAATTGAATAATCATTCATACAAAATTGATGTTCCCCTTATAATTTATTTTAGATAGAAGAACTTCTAGAAGATTGATGTTGTGTTACAAATGGAATACCATCAATCAGTCGTGTAAATGACTAACTTCAAAGCTTGTCAATTATGATTATATATATTATCCAGTTTATAAAAATTATTCATTTGTAGTGAATTAGAGAAGTTGAATCAGCCCTTTCGGATCAGTTTGGGTCTAACCTATCGCGTAACAGTTTAATTCGTTATTTCATATGCATTCTCACCAAGAGGTGGAAGGGTGCGGGACATTAGAAAGCTTCAGCTGTCACCTTAATAGCACAGGGCTGTATGTAGTAGTGCCATCAGATCAGTAACTAAGAAATCAGACATCGAATCTTAGGTAAAAGTTGGGTGCCCATTGATGAAATTGTGAATGATCATCGACTCAGATATATCCAGATCATGTGTTATGCATAGCTAGTCACTGTCTAACTCGTTGCACAATATTGTCTGAAGCAGGTGAAAGGTTAAAGGTGACCAAACTGTGACATGAAATCAGTCTGGGGCACTTAGCTAAGTGTAGATTGCTTGGTTGGCATCTTCGAGATATTGGGAAACATGTAATGAACTGGCTAGAAATCAGTCACAATGTTGCAGATGTATACACTCTTTGATTTCTTCTAAAGTTTAAATGTTTCCACTAAAGCTGATTTCCAAATTCCTTCTCCTCGAGTACATTTTATTCTACTTTGACATCGCTTTTCACATTCAATTGTTCTTTACATGCTGCTGCTTGATCCGATGGGCTTTTAGTGTTCAACCTCTGCTTATGGTTTTCTGATGAGTATAAATTGGCAGTCAACTTGTTGGCTTAAGCGTTCAAAGTGCATATAGCTTTCTTGAAGTATAATGCAACTTAAATCAGTAAGTCGGTTGTGCTTTCCATCCTATCAACGACTGTGTGAAACGTTCTTATCCTCTTCTTCCAAATCTTGTTTAGGCAAACCTTGGTGTATAGTAGTAAGCTCTGCCCTCTGACTCATGGCTTACATCTTTATCAGGTTACTAAATTGTACTGTACATTTCCAAACGCAAAGTAAAACACTCATAAGGCTTAGCTATCAGACTCAACATTATCATTATTATTATTATTATTTATCCCTTGGGTTCCCAGTGGAACACACGGCTTCAGTAGCACGTCTCCATTTCACTCTGTTCTCTACAGTCTTCTCAACTTGGTTCCACCACTGCCCAGGAGCTTTCATTTCTTCCTCATATGATCTCCTCTATGTCACCCTCATCTGGGATGCCTAACTCATCGTTTTTCCTTTGAATTCCACTCGAGGAACTGGCGTGTGATGTCCCCAAACAGTCTTCTTAGTGTATTTTCAATCCAATCCATCTCCACTTTCTTGTGCACATTTGTTGGGTGATAGGTTGTTGGTTTGTTACCAGCCAGAGTGAGCTCCTTGTTGCTTGTTCTTATTATTCTCGCCATCTGATCTCCATCTTCAGTATGGAGTGAGTTTAGGCGGCAGCTGTTGATGACGTATGTTTGCAGTTTGTTGGAAATGCTTTTCGTAAGGCGCCAAGGCCTGTGAACCATCACATAGAAGCACTGACTGACTTGAGTGAATTAGTGTCGAAAATCCGTATGTTGTTGACGTTTTATGCTGACTGGAGTGCAGTAGATCTCCACACTGATTATTTCAGATTGATGAAAGCCTGTCTTGCTGTCTTTCTGATCCTGGCTGCTTTGACATCCTCATCCGTATCACCGCCTGTAGTTGAAACGATGCTGCCAGGATGATAGGTGAAAGAGACTACTTCCTTTAGATTTCTCCCGTTGATGGTGATTGGTGTTTGTTGTTGTTGTTGGCTGGGTATGTTCATCACCTCTGTCTTCTCTACGTTCATCTGAAGGAAGTTCCATCTTAGCTACCTCGTCTCTTCTGTCAACTTGTTGATTAATATCTGTAGATCGTCGTGTTTGTGCGACAAGACATTAGACGGAAGTCATTGGCAAAATCCAAATCTTCTTGTGGGGTCTTTTCATCTATCCAGCCAGCGTATGTCCATCTTCTCGCTCTTCGCAGTTTGTTGCATGATCCAGTCAATCACAATCGGAAGTTCATAGGTGATAGTGACACTAAAACCGTAGTGTTGAAGCAGCTGTCAAACTACTTGTCGGTCGGCGCTGTCGAAAGCCTTTTCAAAGTCGATGAAGTTGGGGTAGAGGGTTGACTGCCATTCTATACTCTGTTCTATGGCGATGCGTAGCGTTGCAATTTGATCCGCACGTAATTTGTACTTCGTGAAGTCAGCCAGCCAGCCTGTTCTGGTCGTAGTTTTCAACCCAGCACGTCCTTCAGTCTCTCCAGGATGATGCGCCATAATATTTTGCTTGGGATAGATAGACATCAAAGGCTTAGGTCGCCCTTGTTTGGAAGTTTTACAAGGTAGCGCTTCTTCCAACTTGCAAGTACCTCTCCTTCCTTCCAAACCTTCTGGAGTAGTGGTGTGAGCATATCCGCTGCTGTTGTCTCTGCGTCTGTTTTCAGTGCTTCTGGAGGAAATCCATCTGGTTTTTGCTGCTTTCTCGGATCCCAGTAGCTTTATAGCGTTGAGGACTTCTGCTTTTGTCGGAGGGCTTGTGTTCTCTGGTGATTATGTGGCTGGGTTGTTGGTGATATTTCTGGACGAGTTGCAGGTGGTGGTGATGTTGAGATCAAACTCAAAATTAGCCACAGTAATATTGAGAAAATGAAAAAGCAAAAGGGTTGGAATGTCTATTTTTTCATTCAGTTTACTAAGCTTACGTGTTTGATTATGCGTTGACCAACAATGAACGTGACTTTTCTGACTTACTATAAGCCAGCTGTCAGGAGGATGTCGTTCTACAATCATTTGTATCTATATCAACCAGTCGTTTTTCACTTGCTCCTGATCATACTCATCAGCTGTGTATGTATGTGTGTGGATTTATTCAGTACAGATGTGTGAACTCTCTTTAAACGATTACGTCATCCAATCAAATGTTTGCAGAATTCATGTTATGTGTTAGCGGAATTCAAATGCTAAATTCTCACCGTCATCTCTCTTAAGATAACCAAGATTTGCACAGGACAAATATTATTATCTTTTCAGTATTTTATAGGTATTGATGATAACCATATCGAATTACATCGGTAATGTATTTTTGCAAAAACAATGTCTAGTGAAACGGGATGTATAACCATGATTCTCATTCAAAGTCGGATTCGATGAGTTAGCCTTTACTGACATAAACTATAGGAACACGCTACAAGTTTGCAGTCACTCAATAGGAAACCTTTTTATATACATCTGGTCACGTGATGACTATTAAGATATATGTCATAAGTCTCTACAACCAATCATCTATAAGTTTATGTGGCAGAGAATCAGTATGACCTTGTGTGCATTATTACGTTTGTCAAGTGTAGATGTCACCTGAAGCTAATTAAGAAGAAGGAGGTATACGACAAATATCCTATAGAGTTGACTATTGAAACTCCATGGGTTCCACTAAACTTCAGTGATGATAGGGAAACCTTCAGGACGAGCAATGAAGTTGAAGGATGGTTCATTTAAGCCGTTCCACTACGTTCATCTAACGTGTTGTTGATGCCGCCTAAACCTTTGATAAAGTTTATTGTAGAAGATTATGTGGTTTAAATAGATGAATATCTTGTTTGGGAACTTAGCTGCAACCTAGGAAGATGATTTTAACAGCACTGAGTAACTCATAACTTACCCAGTGTATGGATAAATACATTTGTCTTAGTAAACCACAGATTCTTCATATATACGACCGAAATACAAAGAAATGAGCTACATTCATCAACCTATTGTTCACAAGAAGCACAACTGGAGTGCTTTGAAAAATATGTGGAGTTGTCTGTAAAAAAAGTCCCCAAAAACCTTTAACGGGATCACGATGGGGAAATTTCCCAAATATCATTTAAATGTTATTGTCTCATATTGGCAATACAGATAGTGGTATAGTTTCAAAGATGGCAAACCTATTGAAAATTTAGATAATTTTATTTCTCAAGTAAAATAGATGTATAAATTATAAATAGTGCCATTTTAATGATTACTTTGTCCTTCATATTCTTGATTCTGATTGGTCGATGCGTACTTGAAGGTGATTGGCCGTTACGAAAGTTTAGTTTAACCATTCTGTATATCCGATAATAATGAAGTGTTAATCATCATCATCATTATCAACATAGGACCAGGCATTACTGCGTAACGGTCCGAGTTGCCACACCTCATATCAGCACATCAAGTAAAAAGATAGTGAGGTGAAGGATGAAGATAAGTGAATGCAGTCAAAAGAAATATAAAGTACGAGAAAAAAGGAAAGAGGTGTGACAAAATGGTGAGATTCGGTATAGCGTTGTTAAGATGAGGATAATGTGTGTATACATCTGCTCCACTGACTTCGGTCCTGAGCCATATCACCTAGGGTCTCCAACCACTGGTTCCTCTTGTCCCGTGGACCCCAACCACCTAGTCTGCATCGTCCTACATGGCTTACACCAACAATCAGAGACTTCATATATTGGTGTCATGCTCTAGTCTGGCCACCTCGGGCCTTTTTCCAGCCTGGACCCACCTCAGCCAACATTGTGTGATGAGGCAATCGGTGACTAGGCATACGTAGTGCGTGTTGGAGCCAACCATCTCAGTCGATGAAGGTTCACAACCTCGTCAACTGACTTACCTCTTCTCCCCAAAACTCTACACCTAACTTCTGCATTACTCATGTGGTGACACCACGGAATACGTCCTATATTACGAAGGCAACGGTGGTCAAACACTTGGAGCCTTCTTATATCTTCCACTTTCAATGGCCATGTTTCACAGCCATACAGTAGAACAGAGAGCGGACTGGTGTGCAGTACACGCGACCCTTAATAGACAAACGAATATCACGGTGGCGCCATAGGTGGCGCAAATTGGCAAAAGCCAATCGAGCCTTTTGTATCCGTGCAGAGATCTCATCGGCAACTAACCCACCAGGGTTGATCCTACTTCCCAGGTAAGTGAAGTAGTCAACACACTCAACCACTTCACTCTCTATTGTTAGCCACAAACTGTTAATATTAGTTAATTATTAATTAATATATTAATATTAATATTACTAACGAAGTGTTAATAATATTCCTTTAAGATTACGATTACATCAGACTGTAGATAACTTAGTTCAATAGCTTGGGTTCACCCAATCTCATCCAACGTATCTCAAGGACATATCATTCCAATTGTGAACAGGTTTCAATCAACCTTTAGAATCAGAAAGAAGTGTTCAAATAGAATAGATAGATGAATGTAGAATTTTACACTGAAATACATCAGTTCAATATGTTCCAATCCAAAGAAGAAATGAATTGAAAAAGAGAGTAACATTGAAGTAATGAAGAAATATGAGTATAAAAAGTAGAAATAGGTGAAAATGTTTCGAAATTTTGAAGATGACAAGGAATGTATCATATCTATGGCAATCTAATGGATTCTAATCCGTATAACTAAGAGTTTCCAACTATTGATTCTCATAGTGTTGAATAATTTGGCCAAGCAACTTGTATCTTTTAGTTCACTTTAAATCCAATTCACCTTCAGCTAACGTTACATGTCTAAGTAGGCGGTAGTTGGGGATATGCAGCACATGTTAAAGCCTTTTCAAACTGTGCCTTTTTCATAGTCCCATCGATTGACTTTCCTTCATTGTTTAACCACGAGTAATGCTACAAAAACTCGTATGGTGATAAACTATTGACCTCTTCATGTCTTTTTCCTGCTGTGACCATGTTTCACTGCCATAGAATAGGACAAAGGGGACTGGTGTAATTATCTTCGTTCTTCGATAGATGATCTTGTATCCAGCTGACACTAGGGGTCGAGTATGTTGAAGTTAGCCAAATAGGTCTTTTGCATTTGTGCATTCTACCACTCCACTGAATACTTCATGAACACTTTGACTCAGTGAAGACTAACTGACTGCGAAGATCAGCATAGAACTCCGCACACAGGTTCATCGGCTGAAGTTACACACTTCACAGTAGTATACAAAGAACAGGTGGGTAGAAAAGGAGTGATATTAACGTAGACAAAGTTGTGTGGGTGAGAGAATAAACAATCTAAGGATGGAAGTTAGTGCAAATATTCAAGTTTTATATGTTAAGGAGTCAGGCTGGCTTTAGGAAGTACAAATCATGTGCGGACTAAATCGCAACGCTACACTGCGCATCATCATAGAATAGAGTAAAGAATGGCAGTCAACTCTACACCTCAACTTTATCGACTATGAGAAGGCCTTTGACAGCGTCGACCGAGAGGTAATTCGGAAACTGCTTCATTACTACGGAATACCGCAAACCTTTATCCGCCTCATTCAACAACTATATGAAGATGCCACATACCAGCCAAGTAATTCACAATATGAAGCTCAGCTCAGTGATGCTTTTCAAGTGAAGACAGGAAGGAGTGAAACCAGGTTGCCTACTATCCCTCATGGTATTCCTGATTATGGTTGACTGGACTGGATCATGCAGAAAACAACAGTGGGGAGCGAGAAGAGGGGCATACGTTGGACTGCGGAAAAGGACCTAAAAGATCTGGATTTCGCCAACGATGACTTGTGTCTGATGTCACACAAACTTGAAGATGCACAGGCTAAAACTGACAAGTTGGCAGAAGAGGTGAGGCAGCGAAGGAAGATGGGACTTCAAGTGAATATAGAGAAGACAGAGGTGATGAAGATACCTCACCACCAACAACAACAACAAACTCCAGTCAACATCAACGGGAGAAACTGAAAGGAAGTAGCCTCCTTCACCTATCTCAGCAGCACTGTTTCAACTACAGGAGGGACAGACGAGGATGTCAAAGTCGGAATCGGAAAAGCAAGACAGGTGTTCATTAGCCTGAAACCAGTGTGGATATCTTCTGCACTCAGCATGTGGAACAAGATCCGGATTTTCAACACCAACATCAAGTCAGTGCATCTGTATGTCTGAGAGACTTGGCGCGTTATGAAAGAGATTTCCAATAAACTACAGACATTCATCAACAACTGCCTACACTGGCTCGATACTGAAGATCAGATGGATTGCCAGAAAGAATAAGCAACAAGGAACTCTGGCTGGTGACGAACCAACCAAGAACCTATCACCCAACAAATATGCAGTGGAAGGAAGTGGAGATGGATTGGGCATACACTGAGAAGGCCGACTGGGGACACCACGTGCCAGGTCAGGTCGTTGAGTGGAACCCAGATAGGAAGCGACGAGTTTGGCGTCCGAGACGAGGGTGACATGGAGGAGATGGTGTGAGGAAGAAATGAGAGCTTGTGGGCTGTCGTGGAGCCAGGTTGAAACGATTTCAGAGAACAGAGTTCACTGGAGACGTGCTACTGAAGCGGTATGTTCCATTAGGAACCCAAGGGACTAATAATTAATAATAATAATGTTAAGGAGTGAATGCATCTGAACCATTGTCACCGATTTTCAGTCATGTCACCAAAAGTCCTCAACCACTGATTCCTATCGTCTCAGGGATCCCAACCAAGCAGTCTATGTAGCCTCGTACGACTCATACCAACAGTAAGAGACTTCATGGAGTAGTGCTAAGTCTTGGTCTGGCCACCCTGAACCTAATCCACCTCCTCTTAGCACGACATGTCAAAATAGTTGGTGGTTCTGCATGCACATTACATGTTGAAGGCATCTCAGTCGATTAATCTACTTGCCTATCTTGTCTAGTACCCCTCGCGTGCTACCAACATTGCTCATATGATGATTCCATCAAAAGCGGGGAATGCTACGAAGACATATGTGATCGAAACCCTATAACGCTTCTTATCTTCCGCCCCTATCGGCCATGTCTCATCCATGCAATAGGAAAGATCGATGAAGACGAATTTTAAAGCATTATCTTACACGCACCATGTTTTAAAAAAACATACTCAAATCTTAGCATGTAACATTCTGAGTGAGAATGATTTCTAGTTATGTATTTCTTTAAGTACTATTATAAATATTTCCCCCCCCCTTGGGTTCCTAGTGGAACATACGGCTTCAGTAACACACCTCCATTGTACTCTATTCTCTGCAGTCTTTTCAACCTAGTTCAACCACTGCCCACAACCTCCCAATTCTTCCTCACATGATCTCCTCCATGTCACCCTCATCTGGGACGCCTAAATCGACGCTTCCCCTTTGCATTCCAATCGAGTGCCTGACCTGGTACGTGGTGTCCCCAGTCGGTCTTCTCAGTGTATGCCCAATCCATCTCCACTCTCTTCCAGTGCATATTTTTTGAGTGATAGGTTCTTGGTTGGTTTGTTGCCAGCTAGGCAGCTGTCGATGAATGTCTGTAGTTTGTCGGAAAGGCTTTTCGTGACGCGCCGTGTTTCTGAACTATATAGCTGCACTGACTTGACTGACATTGGTGTTGAAAATCCGGATGATGTTCACGCTTTATGCTGAGTGCAGAAGATCTCCATACTGATTTCAGATTAGTGAAAGCCTGTCTTGCTGTCTTGCCGATCCTAGTTTTGACATCCTCGTCTGTGCCGCCTGTAGTGGGAACGATGCTGTCCAGGTAGGTGAAAGAAACTACTTCCTTTATGTTTCTCCCGTTAATGGTGATTGGTGCTTATTGTTTAAGTAGTATATATACATTTATTTATAGGTGTATATTTTTTAATATTTGCATCGCTTCACAGTTGTCCAGGAATTACCTAATTAAATAATGTGCATCAATATATATTTTAAAAGATCTTTACGTTTTTCAGATTAACAGTAGCCGATTGTACTCCTCAAATGGGTATCTATTGGTATATGTTTGTTGAAATGTTTGAACATTTCCGAGAATTTTTCACATGGATATTTCAACTACTTATATTCACTATAGTAGTTGGTTTGACAAGTAAATTCAAGTAGGTCATGATTATCGGTTACTACTTTTTCTGTTTTTTTTTTAAAGAAAAAAAAATAGAAGTGAAAACAATTATTTTTATTCCATGAGTTGTTGGTATATACTTGCTTCTATTAAGTGTGATAATTTGTACAGTTGGACGACGGCCGGATTCAAACCAACGACCACCTAGTTTCCAGCCCAATGCTCTACCAACTGACTTACGAGGTCCGATTGCTGACTAGATTTTCAACGCACGTTTGATCATCACTCAGCATAAATACTAGTCTGCCAAACTATGGGTATCTCAAATAGTCGAAATGATAAACAATGTGATGCTCCTCTTCTCTCTGATTCACATAAATTTGGATTGGGATAAAAAAATCTGACTAGGCGGCCAGTGAATACGATCAAGCGGTAGTAACGCATCACGAATTCATATGGTAGTCGGGCAAAACTCTTAGTGATTGAAACGAAATAAAAGTCGGGTAAGTAGTTGAACTTCGTAGCCTCAGTTGGTAAAGCACTGGGCCGGAAACTCAGTGGTTGCTAGTTCGAATCCGGCCGCGGTTCACATTTTCATTTCACCTTCAATCATTACCCAGTATATATTGATGTATTGACATGTTTATAAATGTGCTTAAAATGATAGCCATCCTATGAAGGTGGATGAATTTAACTAAGTAATTAATTGGTTTCCAACTAACTACAGACATTCATCAACAATTGCCTACTCTGGCTCGATACTGAAGCTCAGATGGCCAAAAACAATAAGCAACAAGGAACTCTGGCTGGCTAGCTGGCAACAAACCAACCAAGAACCGATCACTCAAGAAATATGCAGTGGAAGGAAGTCGAGATGGATTGGGCATACATTGAGAAGGCCGACTAGGGACACCATGTGCTAGACCAGGCACCCGATTGGAATCCAAAGGGGAAACGACGAGTTAGGCATTCCATGTGAGTGTGACATGGAGGAGATCATGTGAGGAAGAATTGGGAGGTTGTGTGCAGTGGTTGAGCTAGGTTGAAAAGACTGCAGAGAATAGAGTACAATGGAGGTGTGTTACTGAAGTCCTATGTTCCACTAGGAACCCAAGGGACAAATAATAATAATAATAATAATAATAATAATAATAATAATAATAATAATAATAATAAAAACTTGGTTAACGATTGAAAGTGAAATGAAAGTCTGGACCATGGGAGGGTTCTCCCACAGGGCTTTCTGCCCATTTCTCTACCAACTAAACCTACATGATCATTCGACTGCTGCTGACTAGGGTTTTATTTCACGCTCGAGCGATAGTAATGCGTCATGAATTCACATGGTAGTTGGACAAAATTGTCTGTGATAGAACTGTAGTTCAGATTTAATCAATAGTCTAGTGGTTTTGTAGTCTCAGTTGATAGAACAGTGGACCAGAAACCCATTAATCGCTGACTGATATTCTCATGTGGTACAGATTTTCACTTTACCTTCAATCATCATCCAGTTTCAATATTCTGTTATTGTATATGCTTTTATTTTTAACTGTTGTTGATTAAAATACTTCCACGGTACATTGATTAACCAGCTATTGGAGAGAGTGATCAGTTCCACGTTGTCTAATCCTAAGTGATGACTAATATATATATATATATATATATATATATATATATATTGGATCATTTTAGTAATATGGTCACAAAGTTAGGAGAGTGATTGATTACACAGTGCACTTTGATTGATATCATTTGATCATTTGGTCGAAGGTAATCAGTAGAAAGCCAACTTCGGCATAACCTAAGGTTCTTGTTTGTTGGCAGTCGTCAATGAGCATGAAAGGTAGGTGTAGAGAGTTGTCTGCTGATCGCCTTCAACCAACTGACATACTTTCATAATGTCTGTTTATGTATTCGCGGTAATTATTGTATCATTAATTCAGATTTTTCGTGTGTCTGTCTGTCTCATTCACTTTCAATAATTTATTTCAGTCATAATCCATTGTATATTTGCCTTATGATATCACTTGGAATGAGTGTATTACAACCGTATCATAGTATTGGAGAGCTTGGCTTATTGATATCTATTTTGCCAATGTGGAGTCATATTTTAAAGCGTAAGTACATGAAATAGTTGTAATAGTATTTATAATAATAATAATAATTGAATTTGGGGGTTTGTGAGGATTTAGAGATTTTTCAAGTTGGTATTCATCATGTACTGATATCCGTTGGCGAAACATTGGAAACCTGAGTGCACTGGACAGGTGTTTCTTTCTAGGATGAGAATTTTCAGTAGTGCACACCAATGGCCCCGCCAGGGGTTGAACCTGCGACCTCCCGGTTCCATGGTCAGCACATCAGCATTGAGCCACTGGATCAGAATCCAATGATCAATATGACAAACCTGGTTCTCATGACGACAAATACTCAACGATGATATTGAGTAGTGGGGTCTCTTTATGTCGTGAACTGACAAAAGTTGGAAATGTGCACCACTAGATTCTGACCCAGTGGCTCAATGGTAATGTGTTGGTCACGGAACCTGAAGATCGCGTGTTCGATCCCTGATGGGGTCGTGGGTGTGCACTGCCGGAGAGTCCCGTAATACGACGAAACAAGCTGTTCAGTTCTTCCAAGTCTCCAATGTTCCTCCAACTGATGTCCGTTCATGATGAATACCAACTTGGATTATAATAACAACTGTTTCTCTTCAGGCTTTGATATTATCGAAGTAAAGTAAAGTGATGGAGAGGCGTTTGACAATCTGTAGAGATAGGAAGGAATCAATATGATTCAGTGCGACTCTAGATAAGAGAATAAGAGAATATTTCTAGCTTGAAGCAGGAATGGTTAGTGAAATAAGTGCCAGTTGGTTAGAGGGGAATTAATTTGTTGACAAAGTTGTAAGAGTCGCTGAAATTATATTAGTGACCATAAACCTCAGGGAATATATACTTGAAGTTGGTCACGTGTGGCTTTTTTGGAAATGTATTGCATCGATCCTGAGGCATATATGAGGCTTTGTCAAACTATAACTCGCTTGTTTGGGCAGGTGATAGTTTCCTGGGGTCGAACCCCTTTCTATCTGCCACATTTTTAGCAATCAGAGGTAGTAAAACCTCTAGTCCTTACACAGTTCATCATTATCAACAACATAGGATCACGAATTACTGCGTAACGATTCGAGTTGCTACACCTCATATTAGTGCATCAAGCAATAAAAGGGCAGTGAAGTGGAAGATGAAGAAAAGAAATATAAAGTACTAAAAGAGAGAAAGAACCCCAACCTACTAGTCTGCATCGCTTCATATGGCTCAAATCAACAGTCAAACACTCTTCATACATTGGTGCCATGTTTGAGTCTGGCCGCCTCGGGCCTTTTTCCAGCCTAAACCTACTTCGGCCAACATTGTGTGACGAGGCAGACGGCGGTTAGGCGTACACGTAGCACATATAGGAGCATTGGAGAATATTTGTAACTCAAGTGGATGGTCTTGGTTGTAGGAGCCAACCATCTCAGTCGATGAAGGTTCACGACCGTGTCAACTGACTTACCACTTCTCCTTAAAACTCTATACCTGAGCTGGACTTCTGCGTTACTCATATGGTGACACCACAGAATACGGCCTACATTACGAAGTCAGTGGTGATCAAACACCTGAAGCCAGTTTTCTCATGTTTTCCACCTTCAATGGCCATGTTTCACAGCCATAGAGTAGAACAGAGCAGACTGGTGTACAGTACACGCAACCCGTAATAGACAGTCGGATATTACGACGACGCTACAGATGGCGTAAGTTTGTAAAAGCCAACCGAGTCTTTTGTATCTGTGCATAGATTTCATCGGTCACTGAGCCATCACGTCTGGCCTGATCCTACTTCCCAGGTAAGTGAAGTGGTCAACACACTCAACTATTACACTCTTGATTGTTAGCCGTGGCACCATTGAGGACCAATCCTGGAGTAGCGGTTTGCATTTGGGTGGTGAGAAACGCATTCCAAACATTCTCAAATTGCCACTCAAAGTGGTCAGAAGGCTCAGCATCTTGTTAGCGTCTTCACTTATCATAACTCTATCATCTGTGTATTCTAGGGGCTTGCTGTTCTCGAGCTCCACTCAGGCGTCGAAGAATTATTGGACCTAGAATTCTAGGTATCATGGTCGTCAGGCTGATTGATTTGATTTATACTGGGTAATGATTCAAGGTGAAATGAAAATGTGGGTCGCGACCGGGTTCGAACTAGCGACAATAGTGTAACCTTCCTTTGATAGGCAATTTATTTCGAAGTTGAAGTAACCTGTTAATTCAAAATAGGACCTAGTCTTTATTCAATGTTCAATTTTTTCTCTATCAAACATTTTATCACGTAAACAAACTGCAGGTGTGAATGAAAGCATGTCGCTAGGTTACTAGTAAAGAGAAGACTTTGAAATTCCAGGTTAGTGTTCACCATGGACCGGTGTCAATTGAAGAAGTATTAAAAACACTTGCACTGGACAGCAACTGTTCCGTCCTAGTATGGGGCTCTTCAGCAGTGCCCACACCCATAACTCCACTCCCACCAGGCATTGAACCAAAGTTTTTGAGGTCCCGCGACTGTCACCTTACCATTGAGCTACTGAGTCGGATGACCCAATGGTCTATATTGCCTACATTAAAATTATTATTTTCCTACCGCTTTTTTGCTATGAAATAAATTTCTTGTTTATCCTCATCTATTATCTATCGTGTTACTTGAGAATCAGTTTGATACCTCCCACTAACGAGTTGTGTTTTGGGCTCATTTATTTGTTAAAATTGTTTGTGAGTGAACCGTTATTACCTTACAGCATAGAGTACCATCTAGTTGCGTAAGAATGCAATGCTGAAACATAGGTGGATGGAGATGGGCTCGAACCCGTGTCCCATTGGTTGAAAATCACGTGTATATACTAATGACCCACCACTCTATAAGAATACAATACACATATGTAACCTGCTATACTAACTTGACCTGAATGAAGGCCTAGTTGTCAAAAGAATTTGTATCACAACAATGTCTTGATCACTAGCTCATTTACAAGACCTAACCTACTAACCAGGTCTCCATTTTATTTCGGTTACTTTGGAGTTTCTTCAGATGTCCTCTAAATGTATGGTAATTCAACTATCCCCTGTCATCATCATCATCATCATCACCTTAATAGTTGTCCAGTCATATTTTCTCGTCTCATACTAAACTCAGCTTAGTTAAAGAGGCAGTAGGAGCTACTGACTGATTATAAAGTTAAATCAACTAAGATATCATTGTAATGATACTTGTATTTTCCCATTACTATACTGAGTCGAATTGCTCGACTCCTGTTGTCAGATGGGCTCCTATATGGATGCCTCGATACTGTCGTATATTTATGATGTTATATTGACCTTGGTGACTAGCAGAGGAATCCAGGTTGAGTCTCGTTCGGTCCTATCTGGGACTCGTCAGCTGGATGTGCCTGCACCGCAGTGGGTGCTGTTTCAATCGGGGCATTTGTATAGAACCCCATCTGCCAACAGAGGTCGACCTATTCGGCCCCGTATAGCAACTGGAAATTACGTGTACCATTACAAAAACTGATACTCATTGCACAAGAGGTGGCTATCATGCTCCATTGATTCTATGGATAACGCGTTTGGCTTTTGAAGCGAAGGGTGCTGAGTTCGAGTCCTGGTGGGGTGCAGGCACATTCAGCTGACGAGTCCCAAGTAGGACGAGGCGCTCGTCCTAGATTCCTCTGCTAGTCAACACGATCAATATGATAACTGAGATATCATCCTTGGGTTGAGAAACTTGTCTTTACGGTCAGGAATAATGAAGTAGTCGTGAGAATTAGTTAGTAAATAGGTTTTATGGATTTGTTGGTAAAACCCTAGGATGGTATTTGATCGATCAGTCTTTCTACAGAAAACCAAGATGGTCATCTCATACCTTTTGTTTAGAGTATTGTAAAAATTAGGTTACTTATATCTTCCATGTGACTCCACTTACCTCTTTTGCTCATTACCTGCTATCTAATAACTCTACTGTTCATTTTCAATGTGTTATGCCTTAATTCTGTTTAAATATTCTATATGTTACTGATTTTCATGTTATATTTCTCTATTTTTGTTTTTTATTTTATTTTAGAAACTCATTTACTATTCATTTCAGCATGCCTTTTTACCACTTCACTTATCTTAGCTCCATTATTTCATTATATTTGGTTACAACCGGGTACAGGGAATGCAAATTTCTATTTTGCTGCCTCATTAGTACATGCATTTGGTCAGGTTAGTTAAAAAAAAAAAGTGTATTCTATTTCTAAGTAATCATTTATCGCACTAACTTTGTAGCTGATTTTACTATGTGCTGAATATGATTGAGTACTTCTGACCAATCTCTATTTGTCAGATGGGCTTTTATAAGGATGCTTGAATACTGCTGATTATTCATGATGACGATGAAGCGATGGATACTAAGTTCGACTCTCAGTGGGAACAATATCACTCACTGAAGGGGGAGGAGCAAGTACATGTAGCTGATGAGTCCCAAACACCATGAAACATGTGTCCTTGATTCCACCGCTAGTCACCAACATGAGTACATTGGGATTTATTCAGATTAGTGAAATATTTTGCATATGAAATTAGATACGTAGCGATGTCAAACTGTTGTGAATTGTCCTGTTTCAACGAGTGAGTCATGCAACTGGAATCTTACTGCAATCTCCCGAGATATCCATGTAGTCGGGTTGTATTATTGACTGCTTAATGCAACAACAACAACAGCAACAAAAACAAGCTCCAATCACCATGAACGGGAGAAACTTAAAGGAAGTAGTCTCTTTCACCTACCTAGATAGCATCGTTTCCACTACAGGCGGCACAGACGAGGACGTCAAAGCAGCCATGATCGGAAAAACAAGACAGGCTTTCATTAACCTGAAACCAGTTTGGAGATCTTCTACACTCAGGATAAAGCGTGAACAAGATCCGGATTTTCAACATCAAAGTCAAGTCAGTGCTTCTATATATGGTTAAGAAACTTGGCTCGTTGCGAAAAGGATTTCCAACAAACTACAGATATTCATCAACAACTGCCTACGCTGGCTCGTTGTCGAAGCTCAGATGGCCAGAAAGAATAAGCAAGAAGGGACTCTGGCTGGCAACGAACCAACCAAAAACCTGCCACTTAACTAATATGCAGTGGAAGAAAGTGGAGGTAGATTGGGTATACACTGAGAAGGCCGACTGGGGACATCACGAGCCAGGTCAGGTCGTCGAGTGGAACCCAGATGAGAAAGTGTTGTGACCGAGTGGTGGGGTTGTGCGCGTGGGTATAATGAATACTCAGACTCAATAGATACCCCAACTGAATACCTTTACGACTGATCTCCCTCAGTACCTTCTGCTTCACTTAGCCGCGGAGAAATCAGAAGACAAAGACGGCCTGTGACCGCAAGAACAGCGACAACAACTTTTATTAAACAAATACATGACATTATATGTATTTACAAAACTCTCAGAAAGTGAAGCCATAAATGAACCAATCAGATTTCTTGTATGAGGTCGAATTCCTTCAATTAGGTCGTCATGTCAGTGCATGCATAAATCATGACCTGAACATGATCTGATCACGACTTGAAAACTCCCCTATTGCCTGCCTTTTTGTCGCTACGTAACAGAAAGGATGAGTCGGGCGTCCCAGCTGAGGGTGACATGGCGGAGATCGTGTGAGGAAGAAATGAGAGCTTATGGGCAGCCGTTGAGCTAGGTTCAAAAAGTTTGCAGAGAACAGAGTGTACTGGAGGCGTGCTACTGAAGCCCTATGTTCCTTTAGGAACCCAAGGGACAAATAATGAATAATAATACTAATAGTGCACCAGTGCGTATATATATATATATTTGTGTGTGTGTGTGTGTGTGTGTGTGTGTGTGTGTGTGTGTGTGTGTGTGTGTGGTTGACGAATGGCGTTTCGCTTGTGATTCTTGACTCGTATCCCAATGTGTTATAAATGATTTCCATTGCAAGTTAATTACAGCAAAGAAATCGTTATAAAAATTGGTACGAAAACTTGCCATATTGTGGTCATTCAGAGATTATGATTCACTGAATTCGTGTACATATGTATATGCTTTACGAAATATATTTGTGGAATTCAGATGTACAATAATTGATGACATAAATTATCATAAAGAATATTACAACTTTTAATTTCCTAGTGCGGGTTAGTTCAGACTGGATATATCAGGAATTGTTAACAAACGAGCTGCTGTAGGTATGCCTTGATTAAAACTGGTAATGTTATTTTCCGATTAAGAATGAATCGTGGCTAGCAGTGGGATCCCATTGATGAGTCGCATAGAAGACGAAATATATTTAGTTTTTGTATCTCACAGCTAATCGCTCAGTGGTTTACGGGGGGGTGATCTATCGACCATTGGGTCATGGGTTCGAGCCCTGCTCCACCTGCCAAGGTTTGGGTAGGCAGGTATGATTGTTAGCCCTCGTACAACTGGTGTAGCTTACTGCCTACTGTACGGATATGCACAAGGTAACTGAATGCTTTTCGTCATTTTTCATTACTCTCAAGGATAAGAGAAAGACTATTATATCGACAGCCAAATAGTTCTCATTGACAGGTTTAAGTCTGTTGTTCAGTCCGCTATAACATAACAGTTATTGTCAGTTTGACTATCTGAGATAGTCATGGTTTGTCAGACTTCTATTGTTAGTATTTGGTGATGAGTGATGGTGACATGAGAATTTGGGCTGCGGCGGATTTAAACCAGCAAGTAGCGGGGTTTTCAGCCTGATGCTCTACTAACTCAGCTATGAGACCGAACTACTGACCAGATTTTAATTTAACGTGAATTATCATGAGTTTTGACCAACTGCCATGTCGATTCGTGATGTGTTACTATCGTTTGATTGGACTCACACTATCAGCCCTCTAAATGTTCTGATATACGTTCACAGCTTATGTCATAGAAGTTCTATTCACTGCCTTCACTTGTTGGGGGGGGGAGGGGGGGGGGGTTAATAGATGTGAGAGGAGGCAAGCGAATGTCCGGCACCTATCACCGGATTGATGGATACTGAGAAGAGTTGGAAAATCCTGATTCCAAATCAATGATGCTCATGGTCTCCAGGTTCCATACGGAACGAATAGCGTATAAACCTATCTTGGTCACTGGTAACCATGGGAATGCAACTCCTGATGTTGCTCCACTACTTTGTGGATTAGACTTTAAGTCAAAGACTTGTTGACTGGCCCCCTAAGATAACCACCTACTACTACGGTCGGAGCACTCAGGCAGTATCCCAGTCCTCACACTGGCTGGTCAGTCAGAACTTTTCATCCCAGTGAATTCCAATCTAAATTAGAGAGGGGGAAGGAGCATCATACTGATTATTAGTCTGACTATCTCAGATTACCTATAATTTATCAAAAGTGAGTAAACCGATCACAGATTTGTTCACTAAACGTTTGAGTTTTGATAATATCATTTGGTTCTTTCTTCTGGCTGAAGAAAAGGGCTACATTGAAAACAGCTGATTAATCATCCATTTAGAGAGTTTTTTTCCCCAGCTAACGAAGCCAGTGTTTTGAATTGAACTTCACTGCCTTCAAGGAGTATGACTGACTTATACCCATTACATTTATTCCGTTTGTTCGAATTCCAATACACCAATTGATATCACATTACTAGTTCCAATGGTGTATTTCATCAAACATTGATCGATAATAGACCTTCATCAGTTTTGAATAGGTGATTGATTAACTCTGTGACTTTTCAACAGTTAATGATCCAGGCTCAACTCACCAAAGGGAACATTAATTTTCTCTGAAAGTTAACAACCACTAAAGGTCTATATGCCCACGGTATCTTATCAGTCAACTCCCACTATCGAACACTAAAGCATAGTTAACCACAGTGTCACATCATTTCGTTTATTAGTGGTCATATTGTAAAATGTGATTAGTGGTTGGGAGTTGGGAATAAACAGGTAGACAGGTAGGTCGGTTACCTCACTAGTGATCAATTCGTATAAACATTGGCATTTTTCTACAATAATTAGCTTTAGTTTGGTTTATATATTCTCTTCTTGGAGCTGTGTGACTCGTTGGTTTAGGCCGATGACTTTTCGCTAGTGGGTCATGGGTCCGAGACCCGTTCCACCTATTGCCAGGTTTAGGCAGTCAGTAGGTGTTTTTAATAGTTATTGTACTTTGACAAATTCATTCTTACAATTAATTCATATGTTATAGTTTGCTTGAAATGGAATCCAGGATGTGCGTTCCTCTCTTTATTTACGACTAGTCAACTGTATTTATCCGCCTCCTAGTGAGTGTTTGTATTCCGTTTGAGGCTGGAATCCTGCCCTTATTCCTTCAAGTACCAGAGCGGTTATCCACTAAGCTTCTGAGAGAGGAGAGCCGTCTCTTTTGCAACGGTTATTCGTTATTATTATTATTATTATTACTTGACCACTTCAAGAAGCTCTTGAATCGACCACCACCTGCACTTTGTCCAGAAATACCACCAGCAGCCCAGCCACAGAACTATAAGTCAACATAAATCCTCCAACAAAAATGGAAGTCCTGAACGCCATAAAGCTACTGAAATGCAGGAAAGCGGCAGGACCAGATGGGATACCACCAGAAGCACTGACAACAGAAGCAGAGACAACAGCAGCGGATATGCTCACACCACACCACTATTGCAGAAGGTGTGGAAGGAAGGGGAGGTACCTGCCAAGTGGTTGGAAGAAGGGTTACCTTGTCAAACTGCCGAAGAAGGGAGACCTCAGTGTTTGCAAGAACTGGCGCCGAATCACTCTCCTGTCCACCCACAGCAAGCAAAATATTATGCCGCATCATCTTGGAGAGACTAAAGGATGCACTAGATTCAAAACTACGACCGGAATAGGCTAAATTCATGAAGTACAAATCATGTGTGGACCAAATTGCAACGCTACGGTACGCATCATCATAGAACAGAGCAAGGAATGGCAATCAGTTCCCTATCTCAACTTTATCGACTTTGAGAAAGCCTTTGACAGCGTCGACCGAGAGGTAATTCGGAAACTGCTTCATTACTACGGAATACCACAAACCTTTATCCGCCTCATTCAACAACTATATGAAGATGCCACATACCAGCCAAGTAATCCACAATGGGAAGCTCAGTGATGCTTTTGCACTGGAAGTGAAGACAGGAGTGAAACAAGGTTGCTGTCTACTATCCCCCATGATATTCCTGATTGTGTTGTGGTGGACTGGATCATGCAGAAAACAACAGTGGGGAGCGAGAAGAGGGGGATACGCCGGCTGGACTGTGGAAAAGAACCTAGAAGATCTGGATTTCACCAACGATGACTTGTGTCTGATGTCACGTAAAGTTGAAGATGTACAGGTGAAAACTAACAAGTTGGCAGAAGAGGTGAGGCAGCGAAGGAAGATGGGACTTCAAGTGAATATAGAGAAGACAGAGGTGATGAAGATACCTCACCAACAACTCCAACTCTAACAACAACAAACTCCAATCACAATGAACGGGAGAAGCTTAAAGGAAGTAACCTCCTTCACCTATGTAGGAAGAACTGTTTCAACTGCAGATAGCACAGGCACAGACGAGGATGTCAGAGCCAGCCAGGATCGGAAAAGCAAGACAGGTGTTCATTAGCCTGAAAACAGTGTGGAGATCTACTGCACTCAGCATGTGGAACAAGATCCAGGTTTTCAACACCAGTGCCAGTTAAGTCAGTGCTTCTGTATGGTTGAGGGACTTTGCGCGTTACGAAAAGGATTTTCAATAAACTACAGAGATTCATCAACAACTGCCACCTACGCTGGCTCGTTACTGAAGATCAGATGGATTGCCAGAAAGAATAAGCAACAAGGAGCTCTGGGAACGAACCAACGAAGCAAGAAGCTATCGCTGAACAAATATGCAGTGGAAGGAAGTGGAAATGGATTGGGCATACACTGAGAAGGCCGACTGGGGACGCCACGTACCAGGTCAGGTCGTCGAGTGGAATCCCCATGGGAAGCGACGAGTTGGATGTCTGAGGCGAGGGTGACATGGAGGAGATGGTGCGAGGAGGAAATGAGAGGTTGTGGGCTGTCGTGGAACCAGGTTCAAAAAATTTGCAGAGAACAGAGTTCACTGGAGACGTGCTAGTGAAGCGGTATGTTCCATTAGGAACCCAAGGGACTAATAATAATAATATAATTATTATTACTTATGAATACTTGTCATTCACCTTTCTTATTTTTGATTGAATTGATCTGTCTCTATTGGTGTTATGGGCTGTTATACGGATGCCTCAACAGTACCTGAATTACTAATTACCAGCCAGCCAGCCATCAAATCATACCATCATTAATCTTCAGACTGTATCCCAGCATCTGCTTAGAAGCTACCTGTCTGCCGACAGAGGTGAATTGATTGGACCCAGAATAACAAAAGATAATGACACATATCAATATGATTACACGTAAATTGATATAAATTTTAATTTCGATAGATTTCATCATAATTTTTCTCTTGTTCATTCATTTAGGTGATGCTTATCACAGACTTGTTAAATGCTCAAGGCAAGTATGAATTTTATCGACGTGTTGGCAGGAAGTTGAAACTCAGCACTGGAGACGAATTGAAATTAATTCAAGAGTAATATATACACATAATATTGGTGTAAATACTCTGGTGTCTCTGCGTATATGCCTACCATCGGTTCAAGTGTGTGTGTGTGTGTGTGTGTGTGTGTGTGTGTGTGTGTGTGTGTGTGTGTGTGTGTGTGTGTGTGTGTGTAGATGCTTCTAACACTTCATTGTAATTGTTATGAAAACAATAAAATTACATTTTTATTTCTTATTATTTCGACTTCTCCATGTCAAGTTTGTGTGTATTTCTATATTGTGTGCATGATTTTTCAGTGGAACATAAATAAGTGCGATGACACGTGAACACGCTTCATCATCATGAAACTTGGTTTTTGTTGTTAAGACTTTTGTTTTGAGGAATTGAGTGGAGAAGGTGTCTATTTTCTTTTTTTTTCCCCAAACCTTATTTGTTTGCTTATTGTATTATCATCAAAACTTGTTCAAGATGGTTGTACTCTTCTAGGTGGATTGATCTCTCCAATGACTAGTCAGTGTATGTAATCTAGTTCTACAAGAGGTCAGTCACGACTTGAATAGCTCAGTGTTAACGTCACTGGATTCGAATCTCTCACAGGGGACATCAGTTCCCTTAACGCTGCAAATACACCTCGCTGATGAGTGCCAACAAGCACGAAACCTAGGTTGACCGGGGCTTTCTGCTGATTGCCTCCAACCAACTAACATCTACTAATGTGCACCGCGATACTGAGCCTCTTAGTTTGGTAGCCACATTGGAAAGCTGATCGATTGAATTCGTTTTGCACTCAGGACTAGTCAACATGACATTGGTTGCTCTCCAGTGACTAGTCAATAAACTGTTCTTTGTTTTATATTGTGTTTCATCTGTGTATTTCGGTTAGATTTCGATTTGACTGCTTTGGCATATGATGTGAATTCTAATAATCAGCGAAAGGAGATAATAATGCAACGAGATACTTGAACTGGATACGAGTAATATGACTGTTTCCCCCCCCCCCCCCACACCTGATACTTCACTGAGACGCAAAAATCAGAAGACGAAAGATGGGGCTGTAACTGACTTAAGGAAGACGTCTTTATTTGACAAAAAAAAACAGTTACTGCTCAGAAAATGAAGCCCCTAGATCATCAATCAGATGGACATAAATCAGGGTCTGAGACGAAAATATTTCTACCCTAGCGGGGAATAATGTTGAACGATAGTTTCCATTCTTGACCACTTCCTAACAGATTTATTCGGTTTGATCATGAATGTTTATTATTATCATGCATGTATAGCCATGGCATGCTAGCCAGCAATAGTCATAGAGAGGGAGTGTGTTTCGGTACTTGTTTTTACTTGTTGTTGATTGCTTTGAAGCGTATTAATCTATTGCTGTTATCATATGAGTTTCTATGCAGATATTCTGATGATATAACCAGTGATTTCATTCTGAGGGGTTAGCGGGTACACTCACCTGATGAGTCCCAAATAGGGCAAAATGTGCGTCCTAGATTCCGCTGCTAATCACTTCTCATCGTTGATGGACACATTATAAGTGCACTGGATATATGCCGCGCATGCTGAACCACCACCTACCTCAACATGCAATCTTGGGCTAAGTTGGATTAATTAAGGATAGATAGTGGCGCCCGTTTTGTCCATTTCGAACTCGTCAGCTAAATGTATCTGCCTCTCAATGAGCAGTGTTGTTCCCACTAGTTCACGAAGTCAGGAGCGGTCGCTGCAAACATCAGAGCGTTATCCAATAGATCACGGAGTCACGATTACCACTTCTTGTGTGACGGGTATAGTTTTCATATTTTTGTTTGTGTTATTCCGTCGTTGAGTGGACCGAATTGTTCGGTCTCTATTGGGATATGGGCTCCTGCGTGGATGCCTTGTAACTTAGTGGTCTAGTGGACAACACTCTAGCGTTTGCAGCGATGGGCCCTGGGTTCGAGTCCTCACTGGAGGACAATTTCTTCCATCTGACGAATCCCAAACAAGTCGAAACACACATCCTGGATTCCACTGTTAAGCACTACCCATCAATAATATACAATTGAAACGTACGCAATATTGAAGCTGGATTAAATTGGAAAAAGTTCAGTATGGCTAGACTAGTACACTAAGTCCCCCACTGTCACTCTGAGTCGTGTGGGGGAGATGTAGACTACCTGGCTGGGTCAGCGAAAGAATAGGAATCAGTGGTTGACGACGTTTGGTGACACGGTTGAAAATCTAAGGCTTGAATTTTTGCTTTAATCCTTATGTTCTTATACTACTTTAATATCAATCTTCTTCTATCGTTCTGTTCACACGACTATGAAGTATGCCAACTTGAAGTAATGCACTTATGTGTTGTATGGAGTTCTCCGTTGATTTGACCTATCTTTCTGTTTGATTCATGGTGCCACACTTAGAAAGCGCAAATGGAAGGGAATATAATGGTTCATTTCAAGTTATGTTACTAAATTTCTCCAAGCAATGATTCACTACATCTTAAAGAATCCGACTATGAAGCCAGTATATTTAGACTTTCAATCAGTAGGCTTCATTAAGTAGTTCACTATAGTTAGCTGTATATTGTAATACGATATGTGGTGACTTAGTAAGCATAACACGCGTTCTAGCCAACCGTTCATCGATGGAGTTATCTGTTTCACCTAGAGATATACGCATATATCCCATTGTTTTTACTGAGAAATTTCCAAAAATCAACTTATTAGTATTTATGTGACTTCACAAAACAGCATAGTGTATTTTATGATACTTTTTCCTTATTCCCCAGATTGGAATTATAGTGTGAATTCTAGCAATGTGTGTTGAATTCTCAGTTTTGTGTCACATTCAAAGGTTCTCTAGTTTCATTGCAGATGAGTTATTCTGGAAATAGAACAAAAGTGAAACTGCTTGACACTTTTTATTCTCTAATAGGTGTACAGATTATCTTTTCTTGGTTGTATTGTGTCCTCTGAGCTGGCTGGATTGTTTAATCGTGAAGCTTTCATCGTCTTTCTAGGCAGTAACATCATCAGCATTAACTTCAGTATGTAGTGAGCTGTCAATATCTCTCCATGAGTGATTTAGTAGATTGCATTGACGAAACGGTCTATGATTGGTTGTTTCCTTTGATTGTTGTGTCACTGGCTGCATAGATTTTCCTATTGGCTGTCCTGTATTATTATTATTAGTCCCTTGGGTTCCTAGTGGAACATAGGGCTTCAGTAGCACGTCTCCGTGAACTCTCTTCTCTGAGATCTTTTGAACCTGGTTCCACGACAGCCCACAACCTCTCATTTCCTACTCGCACCATCTCCTCCATGTCACCCTCGCCTTGGACGCCCAACTCGTCACTTCCCATGGGGATTCCACTCGAGTGGTTGGCCTGACGCGTGATGTCCCCAGTCGGCCTTCTCAGTGTATGCCCAATCCATCTCCATCTCCTTCCACTGCATATTTGTTAAGTGGCAGGTTTTTGGTTGGTTCGTTGCCAGCCAGAGTTCCTTCTTGCTTATTCTTTCTGGTTATCTGAGCTTCGATAATGAGCCAGCGTAGGTGGCAGTTGTTGATGAATGTCTGTAGTTTATTGGAAATCCCTTTCGTGACGCGCCAAGTCTCTGAGCCATACAGAAGCACTGACTTGACTGGCACTGGTGTTGAAAATCCGGATATTGTTCCACATGCTGAGTGCAGTAGATCTCCACACTGTTTTCAGGTTAATGAACGCTTGTCTTGCTTTTCCAATTCTGATTTTGGCTGTTCTGTCGTTTATCATCTTTCTGATTGGTTGATAGATTGGGTCTATGTCTGTACATCTGTTGATTGCTGATTGACTGATCTGAATGCTAGGCTTCTAGGAATTCTCTGATCATATTCTTTGTATTTCCTCTCTGCGTCCAAGATTTCTACACTGTCAAAATTGAATTCATGCTGATAGTTGTTATCTACGTGTATTGAAATGTGTGATGAAATGTTGTGTGCGATGTTTAATAGCCAATTAATGTTCATGTAAACGACGGAGGCGAAGATGGTGACCACTTTGTCCAATGTAGTGTTAACTACAGTTATTTGATTTAACTTATTTGATTGTTGTATCCTTTGGTCCGCATAATAGTGTTCGGAGGGAATTTGTTAGTTTATGAGCCACACCAATTTCATCAAGTGGTCTCACTAATCTTGTTGTACTGATGATGTCATCTAGAAAGACGATGAAAGCTTCACGGTTAAACAACTCAGCTAGCTCAGAGACCATCTACATGAGCTACAAATATTCTCCACCATTTCTAGATTATCTTTTAATGTGGTTATATAAACTTACCACTGAATTCTTTTCCATCAGTTCTAGAGTTGTGAGAGTGCTTTCTTATCTGAGTAGTTATGCATACAGAATTATTTTCTATTCTTTGGCAAAATGTCAACTGAAGGAAGGATTAAATTAAAAAAAAGAAAGATAAGGTTAATTCTGAGTTGTATATGCATTCGTGTGTGACCGACTGTCGAAAAATCAGTAGGCAGGGCTGGGCTCGAACCTGTACCCCGTTGGTTGAAAAGCAAGCGTCTAGACCAATCAAAAGGTATAGAGTGCCTAACTCCAGCCATGCTAAAAACTTACAGATTCGTCATCTAGGCGAACCTGCTTTCTTTTCTCTATCATAACAACTAACATATCCCATTATTCATACTACAGTTCCAACTTCAAATTGTAACCTCAGGTTGATATGCCTTACGTACTCATTTCAGTCGGTGAACCATTAAAAACCTGGTCACACTGGGTAGGTGTTTCGTCCTGGGATAAGACTCCTCAGCAGTGCACATCCATGACCCCGCCAGGGCTTGTACCCAGAACTTTTAGATTCCGTGGCCAACACGTTACCACTTGGCAACTTCTTTATCTCGTGAACTGACAGAAGTGGGAAATATAGATGATTGGAGCGGAATCCTAAAGGTCTCAGGTTCAATCCGTTGCAGAGTAATGGGTGTGCACTGTTGAAGAGTCCCATACCAGGATAGAACAGCTGTTCTGTACTCTCAGGTTTCTAATGATCC